TTTTTTTTTTTTTTTGTGAAAACTTGATTTTTATCTCCACATTTTTCTTCGAACAGCATGTTTGTTCTCCTTAAAGGCCGCTCAAAAGAAGATGCTTTTATAATTGGAAATGAAATTGCATCCGCCATTACTGCAATGAATCCAGAGCCGGTTACACTGAAAATGGAAAAAGTCTATTGTCCTTGTTTCCTTCTCACAAAGAAACGTTATGTTGGGTATAGCTATGAGAGTCCTGAGCAGGAGAAGCCCACATTTGACGCTAAAGGCATTGAGACTGTGAGAAGAGATACCTGCCCAGCTGTTGCCAAGACCTTAGAACGTTCAATAAGATTAATTTTTGAAACCAATGATTTATCAGAGGCAAGTTATTCTACTTCAATTCTATTTATTCTCCATTTAATAATTTCATTACAAAATTTGATATTTGGGTCATTTACACACAACCACTCAATTCCTATGCATTTACATATCTAGCATCTAAACATTATTTTTTTACATTTTTACAACCCAAATCTTTCGTATCACATAAAAAAACTACCATTTTTAACTCTTGAAAAGTGAGATACAGTTTTTCATTCATAGGTAGTGTATGTAAAGAATAAAATTTGAGGTTTTACTAATGTAAACATATAGGAATTAAGTGTTATGTATGCAAATATTCCGTAGTACTTATAAGCCTGAATATAATATGACTTTGGCCTGCCTTTGTACGCAGGTTGAATCATATCTGAAGCGCCAGTGGGCGAGAATACTATCCGGCAAAGTCTCCATTAAAGATTTTGTTTTTGCTAAGGAGGTTAGGTTAGGCACATACAGCAGCAGATCTTCTTCCCTTCCACCAGCAGCCATAGTTGCAAAGAAAGCTATGGAAATGGATCCCAGAGCAGAACCACACTACGGAGAACGAATTCCTTATGTAGTTATTCACGGCGAACCTGGATCTCGCCTCATGGACATGGTGGTCAATCCTTTTGATCTTCTAGATTTGAATTCTTCGTACAGACTAAACGATCTGTATTATATTAACAAGCAGATGATTCCAGCGCTTCAACGGGTTTTCAGTCTTCTCGGCGCTGACATTAACCAGTGGTTTTCTGCTGTTTCTCGTCCGATAAGACCTATGTTTTCTAAACGACACGCACCAATGTCGAATGCGCGGTTGTTCCGTGATGGTGGTAGTGATAATTCGATGGTTTCGAAGAAACCAAATGGCAAAAGGATTCGGATAGATACTTATTATTCTTCAAAGCACTGCATTTTGTGTGGTGAATTGATTCAATCATCAGAGCATTTCTGTGTTAACTGCTCACGGAAAGAAGCACTGGTGGATGCTACTGTGGTTGGAAGAACATCAAAGAAAGAAAGAGAGATGCAACACCTCACCGAAGTGAGTCCCTCTTTTTGCACGATGTGCTCCTGTTCTTCATTTTGCTGCATTTGGCTTATATGTTTGAATTTCGTCAATCTTTTCTTTCATCATTATTTTGTGAGTTTATGGTAATTTTTTATGGTTTAAAGCGAAAATCAAATGGGAAAGAACCTTTTAGAGCATCAATATACAGGTTGGATGAAAAACAAAGTGTCAAAATAGTAATGGGGTGGCACTGGAGTTAACCCAAACCACAACGTAAGACACAAATTTTATTAATAATTTAAAAAGACGATTACAA